ACAAAGTGGGCATCTCTCGTTTCACTTTGGCGATAGCAAAGTCCATGTCGATAGACAGTGTCAACTGAACCCCATTCTGGCCGGTCACAGAAAACCGAGCGTCTGGTCCGAGTCCGGACAGAGTCGCGTCTGTAGCCCCTTCCAAGACTGGCTATTCACTTCACCTTATCCACACCTTTTTCTCTTCTTCTTTTCAGTGATCCATCGCTTCTGCTCCGGCTCCGAGGAACTCGGCAACATGATTCACTACGTCCTCATGATAGTCGGGGTAAGGGTCAGCACTTGAACCCCACCACCTCCTCGTCTCCACCCCCTTCTACAGTCTTCTTTCTCTTACACATACACACACATGCACACACATGCACACACATACACAGGCATATACGCATAGATATGACTAAAACTACTTGCATACATGCATGTAAATCTAGGTGGACACAGGTTTACATGTGCATATATATGCACACACACACACACACACATATACATTTACGTGTATTAATATATAAATGCGCACGTGTATACAGATACACATACAGGCCCACATATGCACATGTGCACATACTTAAACGGCCTTGTCATGATCACCGTTCACTCAATTTCACAATCCATTTCAGTCTAACTTTTCCGCAATGCGTAATTTTTCGTCTTTGCCTTGCTTCAGTTGCTGCGCTCCAGACCTCGTCTTTCAGAAGAATTCTTCTGCCAGATTCTCCGAGTTACCAACACCCTCGGCGACAATGTCCGGTAGGTTCAGGCGCATTTCTTCATCATTTCATTTCCCAATCTAGTCCAAGTTCAGATACAGTCTTCTGCTTTTGTGCCAGTCAACCCCGTCAATGATGAATGTCTTCCGTAAGGCCAAATTGTACTTGTCATTTGCCGAGACACTTCAGCTCCTACTGTTGGAGGCTTTGCTTTTATGAATTTCTTCCTCATTATAATTTACGCCGTTTTATTGTCTACTCATTACGGTTGTGAGTAGTATGGCATTATCTATTTAAATAATCTGGCGCGTGGCATATTCTGGCAAAAGTTCCACCACAGTGCATGTCAACAACTTTTGATGTCGATTAAACGACTTATCATCGTTAGCCTGCTTCAACTCTTCACATCTCTCCGCGCTCCGATCCAGTCCTCAACTAGACAGCAGCATTGCAGCCTGTTTAGAAAGACCGAGAAAAAGATCTTTATTTTGGCTATTTTTTACGTTTCGTAAATAAGTAGAGTTTCGAGACTGCCAGTAGATCCATAGTATAAGATGTATTCACCCTATTTCGTTTAAGGTGATGAATACTGTGTGAGAACAACTTTTGGGAAAGCAAGGCT